AGTGAAGAAAAGTCATGAGGTTTCATTCAATACCCCTTTGAAAAAGGTAACAAACAGCGCCCCTTTGTCTCTCCCTTTGTGTTGTGTCTAAGGAGGCTTGGCCCGACCCTTGCTCAACACAAGACACCAGAAAAGACCAGCCACTCAGACATGGGGCCTTGAAAGGCAGGTCAAAGAAAAATGCGTCATTGCCCAGCCGCACAGACATTGAGAATGTCCATCTATCTAGCTAACAATCCCTAGCCTTCTGTTTAGTGTTGGGAAATGCGTGGTAGAATGCCATACAAAGGAGATTTGGGACCATGTCGAGTTATGCAAAGCCGGGCTGGTGGAGTCTGCGCGACTATGAAAGGCGCAGGAATCCAATCATTGATTGACTGCATGTCAACCAATTTCATAACTAATAGTGCAGATCTGTAGATGCCAATCTGGAGAACTGGGTTTCCGAAAGTGATTGACAGGAGAAATGATGGAAGCCCAGACCTTCTGGCGCCGTTTGCGAGGCGCATACGAACGTTGATTCGGTAGTCCACAAGCCAGCATCATCCAGAATGACATTGAAGATCTTTATTCAACTCAACTCCCTCGACAAAAAGCCATGTGCCTGGTACCTGCATACAGCACGTTCCTTGTCCCACAGCCAAGGTATTCGCAACATACTAGTCGCCCCTACAGGCGCCTGGAGTCTCCCATGTCATCCAATGGGGCTCGGAATATTATGGGTTCTTGGCTCGGTATCACCACTTTAACACCCCTGAGGGTTGGAGCTTGACCCTTGGAACCGATGCAATTTTGGCTGCGACATAGCAAAACGTTCCCCTCTTGGAGAGTAATTGGTCCGGACCTCGTTCGACTGCCAAGATGAACTGCCCCAGTAGGCCAGGCCAGTACGAGGATTGGTCTCTGCTTTTTCATCTGTCAATGCGAGCGAGCCTAACACGATCTACTAGTGGCATGGACATCCCGATGACCCTTTCTGTTCATTCCCTATTCTCCATCTTTTCCACATCTCGTCTGTCCATCATCATTCCTTTTCGATTGCTTTTATTGCTGATTGATCCATTCTTTTCTGAAGTTCGGGCTGGCTCTGCTTCACCTTCATTTTTCTCGCCTTCTATAACTATTCGTACCTTGTTTCGACGTACTAGTTCTGCTGTACTTACACTCATTATTGACAAAACCACCAACAACGTTCCTTGCGAACCCGCCCGTTCGACATTCTTTCATTCTATCATTCAAACCTGCTATTCTGTTTTCTATTCTAAAGGCCGTCAAACTCGATAACCCGAAACCTCACGATCCGAGAGGCTTGCGACCGTTGATCGTCGATATAGACTCCAACGGTTTCTGGAACTCTATCAACGAGGCTTGCCAACCGCGTTGCATCGAAAACGGCTTTTCATTTAAATTATCAACCTCATTTATCGCCACTACCGAGACTCAATCTGGTTCAGTTAAATTGAATTTCTGTCAGGAAACTTCTCAAAGCGTCAACCACTTAACACGCTGAGACACATCGACCGACTGTACGGTTGTTGGGCGTTCGGTAAACCGGAAGCGGCACTATTGGACAAGGCATTCTTCCTTTTCCTCACTTCTAAAAGGTCCCCTTTTATTTAAAAAAGACCCGTGGCTTAATCCGGAATCGTGCCAGTGACGCTCGACGTTGGAAGATCTAAACCACGCGTTGGAATCTAAGGGTCTCAGATTCTTAGCGGGGTTGGCCAGAGTGTGCGACTGTCAACGAGCAATAAAGGCATACCCAGCCATTGCAGCTTTTGGTTTCAATATTTTCTCTCTGATCCCTTCTTCGTTTCTTTTTTCGGATCAATTATCGATCGAAAAGGTTTCAAGGGTTACAGAAACTCAATCCTTGACTTGATTGAAAGTCTACTACTATTACGACGGTGAGTTTAATAGTACTTGCCCACCTACACTTGCACAATAGTACCCTGCCATCACTTGGATGGAACTCGATGACCACCATCTGAACTTGAGACTTGGGTTTCTGAAGCGAACAAAAATCTTTCTGCAACTCAATCTTCTCTTAAACGATGAGTTTACGGAAATACAATTCCTCAATTTCATGTGTTGGCAACCGTCATGTCCAGCAGGTACCCGTTGCCAACTGGCTTACTGAATAAGCCTCTCCTTCCGTCTGATGCCTCAAACACCCACTTACTCCTTCTGCTTGTGAATCACAAACACTGGCACCTTCCTTGGACATTCCTTCCCTCGATACATCGACTTCTCTTTATTCGATCACATTCTTTTAGCATCATTGTTGCATTTGGATTCTAACATCGTATAGATCGCCTTGTCGCATCGTCCACTCCTTTAAATTAAAGCCTTCCCAAGGCCAAATTACAAGCCTGAATAGGCAAAAGCATCATGATGCTCAAATCTCTCGTCACAGTTTCCGCGGGCCTCGTCGGAAGCGCCCATGCCTTCTGGCGCATGGAGTGCCCTGGCCGTGTTGGACTTGCACGTCTCGATCCTATCATCGACCCTGGCACAGTTTCGAAGCATGTCCATTCAATTCATGGTTCATCTGGTGAGTTTTACTGCCTTGATAGCACAAGGAAATTAAATACATTACCGTGGCATATCTAACAACTGCATAGGATTCGCTGATACTGTTACTACTGAACAGCTCCTTGATGCTGATTGTACTTCATGCCGAGTGACACAGGACAAGTCTTCTTACTGGCATCCTGCGCTATACTTCGAAGATTCCGATACTGGAAAGTTCGAACTTGTTCCTCAAGTAGGCGGTATGCTTGCGTAAGTAGCCCCGCTGGAAGTTTTCGTGTTGTACTCAGTCGAAGCTGACACCATCAAGTTACTATCTCCTTTTTGGAGACAATATCACCGCTTTCCCACCCGACTTCAGAATGCTGTCTGGCTCAAACGAACGACGAACATACTCATTTGGCGATCCAAGCAAACCGGATCCTGAGAAGTCATCGTGGCAGGCTCTTGGCCAGACTTCGCAAAGTGATTTAGCCGAGCGTGCCCTTGGCTTCAACTGCCTCAACTACGACAAGACCCCCGAAGGCACTCTGTACCGCCACTACATGCCCGACAAGAATTACCTCGATGCGAACTGCAAGGATGGAATCCGTCTCGAGCTCATGTTCCCGTCTTGCTGGAAGGGTGGCGATGCCGTCGACAGTGAAAACCACAAGGACCATGTCGCATTCCCCGATCTTGTCATGACTGGCACATGCCCTAAGGATTATCCTGTTCGACTACCTAGCCTCATGTATGAGGTGATCTGGAACACCGCCGCTTTCACCGACCGAAACGGCCGATTTGTCTTTGCCAATGGCGACACTACTGGTGTGTAAAAGCCCATGTTTCACTGTAGTACCATACTGACCCATTCACAGGTTACGGATACCACGGAGATTTTGTCATGGGTTGGGAGGAAGACTTCCTTCAGGAGGCTGTCAATACCTGTACCAGTGAAACTGGAAGGATTGAGGATTGCCCTCTCTTCAACGTTGTCAGTGAAGAGAAGGCCAAGACCTGTGAAATGAAGATCCCCAGCATTTTGGAAAACGAAGACTGCAAGGGCCCCCTAAAGGCACTCCCTGGCAGCAACGGACACTCTTCTGGCGCGAAGCCTGATCCTTCTGGTCTCAACCCTGCACCCACTCTGACATACGCTCCTGGTGAAAGGCCAGAGAACTCTGCTTCGCCTCTGCCAGGTCAGATCTTCAAGGTGTCGTCGGCTTATGAAGCCCCTGCTCCTGGACCCAGCTCCGTCAACACAGAGAAACCTTCCCCCATATTCTCTAAGATCTCTATTCCCTCTGCACCAGCCCTCCTACCGATACCCACCATTGAGGCTGTTGCAGACGTTGGTGTGGTTGCAATCGAAGCTACCACATCTGTTGAGGCTCAGGCTCCTACGACCACTCCTGCGCCTGAGCTCCTGCCAGTTACGGACACCAAGAGCTTTTATAGCACACAGTATATCACCAACGGTAACCTCGTAAGCAAGATTCTCTGGGAAGAGGAAGTGGTCTATGTGACCGACCTCCAAGAGGAGGTAGTTGTTGTCACCGTCACATCAACTGCCATTGCTACACCTTCAGTAGGACCGGTCCCAGCGGCGGCTCCTCCAGTTGCTGCACCCCCAGCTGCAGCTCCTCCAGCGGCGGCTCCGGCAAGAAGAAGACGTCGTGGTGCTCATCTGCACGGTCATAGACGCCCTCATTTTTAGTCATCTGGAGTAGGAGATTAAGGAGTTGTACAAGATAAATGCCAAAAAAATATTTCGTTCTATTGTCTGGCTGGTTCCAGGTGTTCGCATGGTATGCATTGTTGGAAGAGGAGCATTTGGGTGCAAGGGTTTTTTACTTCGTAAGGGGACGATGATCACCCAAGACTTTGGGCACATGTGAGCTTAAGGAGAAACTACCTGATACAAATAAAGGAATGACGAATGACCATAAATGAGTAACACCGTCTGTGCCGGAGAGCAAGTCTCCCTAGTGATTGCGCATTTCCCATAGTCTCAGTTACAAGATGAAGGTTGGTTTCAAGCCAAGACGACGTATGGATCAACTATACAAGTAGGAGATACTCGTATCCATCTATCGAAGAATAACCAATTGAAACGGGAATCATGGCGAGTTTCTTGTATTTCCTCAAGCCAGATAATTGAAGCTGATATATCAAAACTGTGAAGCTGGTCTCTTGGTTTGGAGTGGTTGGAATGGGTAACGCCCAGCAACACATTCCTTACGATATTGAACTGAGACTCTTGAAATAACCTCAGCACAATTATCAAGTATGAACTCATTAATTAAGATGAAAGTGGGCGTAATCCGAATGAAGGGTCTTCTCTCCTTCATTCGGTCTCTGCCATATCTCACGCTGTCTGTCCTCTTGAAGCCTCGTGGATTAAAATTCTTCACTCTCGAAACTTTACAGAACACTGCTGTTAGCTGAAGATATTTTGATATTCAGCTACGGCAGTGTAAACAATCATGGAATCTTCAACTCTCTTACACAGAGAAGTGCGCGGTGCAGGCGGACTTGGTCTGGGATGGATCCTCGCCTTTTCTATCGGCGGCGCAATTCTCCTTTTTGCTGCCATCGGATTCCTTCTTACCTGGCGTATCAAGGCTCGAAATCAAACTGATGTGACTACGGTATATCAAGTATCAGAGAATGTTGAGGATCATCGGCGATCCATTTTCAGCAAACGCCTCGTCAAGCGAAAGTACAATGGTTCGAGATCTCTTAGCCGTCTGTCCCTCTCACTACCGCCAGTGCTACCACCTCTTCCGACATACAACAGCTTTACCTTCTTCGGTGGAAACAACAAACGAGGCCGATCGAGTAGTTGGATAGAGGAGGACAAGTTTCATGGACCGAGAGTTAGCAGAAGTCGCAGGGATAGTCTGTTTAGCAGAGATGGATGGCTTGGAAGAGCACCAACCATTCCGACTCTTATGACAGATGATGATTTGGAAAAGGCACAAGAAGCGCAGGAGATGGAACAAGGTATCCATGTGCAGAAGAGACACAGCATCGAGACCTTGAAGCCGAGCAAGACAGCGCCAGATTTGCCTCTTCAGGAGGAATACATACAAATCAGTCCAGTGCGAGCTCCGTCAAGAGCCCGTGTGAGAGCATCAGTGACGGACACCGATCTCCGAGACATTCTTCGGAGCACAGAACTACGACTTAAAGATGGGGCGAGCCGATCACCCAGCAAGAACTCCCGGAGCTCACCGACAAAACGGTCACCACAAAAGATCTCATCACTGAGAAGCACACCTCGCAAGAACTCGCCTACAAAGACTCCTCATAGCCACAGGACTGCATCGTCTCTCGACTCCACCAACACAACTGGAACAGTACGCATCTGTCGAGTGCCGCCAAGTCCGAGTAAAAGAGCTACCATCCACACAATACCAATGGATGCGCAGAGTCGACAGGTTTCTGTTAGCTCCATTGGTAGTGCCGCCAACAGCTTATTAGCAGAGGCAGTACAAGAGCTCATTCTTCCAGGAGGACTCTCGAGTCCAAGCCGCTTGAGGGGGCGTCAGTGGGAACCTCAAGAGAACGCATTTGCTCCAAACAATGATTCCTTGAAAGAAGTTGTGAAGGATGACAGTCCTGATAGACGGGCATCACAAGAGAGTGAAGTATCTAGTTCCCTATCAACACTATACAGCGCCAACGAGTCCGAAGAAAAGGATCAACGTGACCCGTTCATAGAGAGGAAAGCTCCAGGAGGGCTCAGCTCGGACAGTAGAGGGTCACTATTTGGACCGCGGGTGTCGCACAGAAGGGGCAGGAATCTGAGCATCTCAATCCCAGGTGGACAAACCATATTCAATACTCAGAGTCGCGGACAAGGACAAGGACAACTTCGACCTTCATTTGTGAGCACACAAGCTGTCGGCGGGCCTCCAATTTCCTCATACCTACAACCACCACCGGAACGATTCCAGCGCAGCGATAGCTTCCACGCCCGTGATCAAGAGGGCATAGCTCTGGCGTTCCCAGCTAGTAACTCATTTACCAGCATTCTCACGCCTTCTGTGACCACCGAGGGAGACAGCACTTTGTCTTTTGGTAACAGAATGAGTGAGAGCCCCAAGCCTGAAGTCCCTGGGCGTGTAAGGCCAGTCTTGCAGGAGAACAGACACAACGTGGCAACGGTGCCGAGCCCATCGACCATGACCTCATCACCCTTTGATGAACAAGATATGCTGTCGCTGTTGATGGGCACAGGCCCGAAAAGATCTCTCCCTGAACCGCCGAGGCACATTGCCCAGGTTGATCACATCATGATGCCCAAACCGGTCTCGCCGATGCCCAGACAGGAATTCTCGCAGCATTTGCGACAGATGTCTTCGACGGCGAACACTATATACCGCGATGAGTTACCCTTGGATGATCCCAGCGCCATATCTACAGGATCACCACTTCGTCGCTCAACCTCGCGTTCAAATAAGGACATGCCGACTCTTCCCCCTCCGTCAAATGTACCAAGTATGGGATCACTCGGCAACTCCATAATGGAACTCAGAAGGATGAACAGCATGGTTAGTTCGTACAGCGGCCAATCGCTAGGGTCATCCACCAATGAACCCGACTCACCAACGCTGCCCATGTTGAACTTGACAAGTAGCTTCTCGAGAAGGCACACAAGTCCCGCTACACCTAGGGGAAGCACATCAGGTCGCCAGAACTATCTCAACCTTGGAAGTCCTAACAAGAACTCTTCAGGATCAGTTGCGACGCCCATGCCTATCCGTCCACTCCCGGCCAGCCGCAGTGCTCGTTCCAACTTGGGTGTCGAGATTCGAGAAGATGACATCGAAGAGGGAAAAGAGAACCAGGAACCGACGCCTGTGTCGAGTGGACTTCGAGAGACGCGCAAGAATGTGAATGTGAATATGGGACGAGATAGTCGGGATTTGAGCCGAGGGTCAAGCAAATCCAAGCTTGGAACTGTGAGTGAGCTGATCGCTGACAATAAGCGGGAAAGCAAACGCAAGAGCGTTGAGTCAGTGGGATTGTACGACAAAGATGGATTTCTTAACAGCTCGCCTGATGCATCAGGGCGAGAGACAAAGGGGCGATGCCTACGCATGTAGATGGCAGCCTCCTTTGCCCCCTTTTTTATTTTGTTTGGTTTTTTTTTGTCGGATCGGTTCAGGCCTCGTAACATCAGCAAGTCAATGCTTTTATTTGGTTTCCCGAATTTGAAATGAAGGGCTTTTTCGGGGTTGGATTGGATTTGAATGGAATATCTTGGATTAGTTGATATTAGGTACCTAGCTTAGTCCACAAACTCGTTGGATATATACCCTTCGGACGTAATCATAATAAAAAGAGACCGTGGTTTTATAGTGATCGTTTCTTCAGAAGATGCGTCTTTGGTAGAATGAGGCTGTCGTACTGTAACTCATAACGCATTTATTCTTGTCCTTTTATACCTAAACGCCCTGCCACACTCTGGTGAAATGTGTATTTTATTACTCCACCCGCGGTCGCTTGTTCTCAGGATCATCAGCTGCTTGGTTCTCAGGTGAACCGGCTCCCTCAGCCTCATCGCGATCTCGCACTCTTCCTGCACCCTCGCCCAACTCCTCTTCTTGGTCCTCGGCGCCTTGACCGATCCAGTTACCGTTCTCATCAAAATACTCATGCAAGTTGTCAGCTGTGATCCAGCCGCCGCTGCCAGGCATAGGAGGCGGTAGTCCGCCATTGCTAGCACCGCGCATAACACCCGTGAAACCCTCGATGGCCTGATGCTCCTCGCTGCCCTCGAAGACAATGCGATCATAGTCATCCTCGTCGTCCTCATCGTCGTTGGGGTCAGGGTGAAGGTCGGAGCAGGTGGCCATGGTTTCGTACAGTTGCTTGGCAGCGCTGGACTCAAAGTCGGATTTGGGAGGAATGATGGTGAGATCTACAGTGTTGAAATCGTCGTCCTCGGCGCCGCCATCGGAGAACTCAAGTTGCATCCATACCGCTTGGGTGCGCTCAGCGTCTGATTCGGGGCCGATTTGCTTGATCGCGTGAATAGATATCGAGGGGTAAGGAATTGAGACGCCAGCTCCAACTTTGTTGCTGAATAAAGTCAAGGCCCTAGTGACGTTAGTGAAAGATGTCGTGACGAATGTAATTAACTTACTCAGAGTTTACAAAGACATCTATAGTCTGCTCTACGAGCTCCTCGACATCACCGTTGATGCTGTCGCCTTCAGGGGCACTTGGCTTCTCACTAGAATCCGCAGGAAATAAAGCTAGAATACCGCATTGCGACTTGGGAATCCATGCCTTTGCGCCCTCGAGGTGGTAGTGAAGAACAGGTGTTCCACCGATGAAACTTTCTGGTGTTGTAGTCTGATACTCATCGAGGGGCGTATAATCGCCGGTCTGAGGAGGTGTACGAATTGTCGTGGGGAGCATTTTGTGACGTATTCCTGGTATATAAGAAAGAGCTTGGGGTTGTTTGGAGGGGTTCACCAGGCAGCGCAAGAAAATGTCCACTATGAGATGAGAGAGCTTTATCGGACTCGGGGCTTATCGATAGAGACCTTATCGCGCGCCACAGCTAGATCTACATAAAATCCACTGAGTCCACTGATTGGCTTAACTTAGTGGTGTGGTAGGCTCGCGTCACACGTCAAGTTAGACTTGGACTTGGGACTTACATCTATCTATCTCATTAATACCGACTTTTCCATTTACTTTGTCAAAGAAATCTTGGGAAAATCTCATTGAAAGAACGCGGCTCTCATCGGGACTCTGTGGCCGTGTCCAAATAAGACCGGTACCATTAGAAACATACAGACGGCAATTATGCACGACAACAAGCGTATACCTAACCCAAGACAACTCACAACGAATTCAGCTAATAACGCAATCAGGAACTCATCCCCTGTTGGAACAAGTGCCCCTCACAGTATCACCATTTGTGTCTCTTCCAACAGCAACAACATTATCATACAACTACAAGACAATGCCTTCCAACATTCCTCCCTCATCACTAGGTGTGGAAGCCGCATCAGACAACCCCGCAGGCCAAGTCAAACCCAAATATGTGGTTTCCGGCTCAGGTCACGCAGCGCATCCTGAGGACATCATCGCTTCGTGCCGTGCGCTCTCGGCTTATGTGACTAAGATGCAGGAAGACGCGGACCGTGAACTCAGAGAGTTTGATGAGAGGATCAAGGCGCGCGAACTCGCCGAGAAGAGGAGAGTCGCACCAGGCTGGCTAGACAGCGAGATGCATATCCTTGAGCCTGAAAAAAGTACACCTGTGCAGCAACAAGGTACTGGAAATGTGCCCCAAAGTCATGATGCCCAGAATGCCCAGGGCGGGAATGCGACCTCGGATCAGGGTGCAGAATTGGACAGAGCCTTTGGTGGAATGGAACTGAAATGAGCCATTCAGTGTGGATATTTACGAATCATGATTAACAAGCACCGGGCTATCCATATCTTGGCAGTCGCTGCCGAATATCTTGTGCTTCAGCGAACTGTTTCCTTTTCCTTATCATATGGTCAAATAATACCTGAGCACTTCACTTACAGGCATTTGGATTGCCAAATGCAAAAGAGTTGTCATATCAGCGTAATAGAAGAATATCACTGCTTCTCTTGAGGAGCTATATTATATTCAAGAAACGCCTGACTCCTTATACTTTCACACAGAACCGTGAGAAAAACCCACTCAGTGTTTTCCAGATGTTACGGCCAAGATCTTGTTGGCAGCGTGCGCAGCAGCAACCATGATGGAGGCCTGAGTATTCCCTGTCGGGACTTCAGGGTGCATGGCTCCATCAACAACAAAAAGGTTCTTGGTTCCCCAGACCCGGGTATCCGGTCCAACGACGCTCTTGCCGTCGTTCTTGGCTCCCATGTGAGCCGAGCCAAGGTGATGGTTCCCGCTGTAGGAAACCTCCATGATGGAGTCTGCAGTAACATTGCTCGGCACGCTCAGGTTGCTATTGGGCTTGCGTGCGTAGCTCAAAAGTTCATCGATAAAAGTCTTGAGAGCATCACGATCACCCTTGGTGTTGAGGAACGGCTTCTGAGTAATGTTGGTCTTGCCGTCGGGGGTGATCTCGAGGGTACCGTGAGATGTAAGGCCGTGAGTGAGGTAAACCTTGGCAGAAATTGTGTTATTTTCGGGGGCGTTGACGGTGCCTTGGACGTAACGAGTGATGCCATCACTACCTTCAACGCTCTTCCAAAAGTTAAGACGTTGTGCGGATTGAGAGAGAAGCCCGCTTCCTTCAGCAAACAGCTCGACTGTCTCATCGTTTGGTTCAGTGAAAGCGGTGCGAGACAGAGCTTGGAGCTTCTCCTTGGTTTGGAAATCCACGACAACGATGGGATGATCTCTCAGACGCTGACCAACGGGGAGATCGATCCACTGAGAAGCAGGTGGGAGCTCAATCTTGGTAGAGCCGGACTTGACAATACGAATTTGGTCCTTAGGTCCAATGCCTGAGTTGAAGAGAATGCGTGGTGTAGAGTGTGTGCCAGAAGAAAGGATGACAGAACCACCCTTACTCAGCTTAATGATCTCGCGAGAGCCATCTTCATGCTCGACTTCGATACCGGTAATGATAGGTCCCTTACGAACAACACGGAGAACCTTGGCGTGAAGCTGGAGGCTGAAGTTGTCGAGAGCCTCTGCATCAGGGAGAATATCCCGAACGGGGCCACCACGGAGCCCGTTGTTGATCTAAACAGTGTGAGCTTCAATCATGGACAAAACCAAGGGACAACAAATGCAGACGAAACTTACCAACCAAGGAGGATGCGTGAAGATCTTGTCCTTCGCCTCAACATTGTCGAGAGCATTGACTTCACCCCAGCCGTTGTTCTCGAGGAACTTGGACATGACTTCAAAAGCACCATCATCATAGCGCTTGCCATCAGCAGAGGGGAGAATGCTTCCAGGCATACGCTCAAAAACACTCTTGGCGGCCTCGGAAACACCATCCTCCCACTGCCACCCCTTAGGCCATGCCTCAAAGTCAGCAGCACGGGGCTTGATAAACATGAGAGCGTTAAGCATGGTGGAACCTCCCAACAAGCAGCCGGCCGAAGCAGCGATGTCTGTACACCACTGAATGGTTGGCGAAATGTCAGTGTAGTAAGCCATGCCGGGGACGTCGTATGCGGTGACGGTCTCGTTCCACTTCATCAAGTCATCCCGGTTGCCGGTCGAGTAGTACGAAGGACCGCCCCTCTCAACCAAAAGAACTTTACGGCCAGCAGCAGCGAGTTTCTCAGCAACGACGAGGCCTGAAGCTCCAGCACCAGCTACTATGTAATCATAGCTGATGTTTCGAGTAGCAGTGTTGCTGGCAGCCGAGGCAAAGCCCAGCAGAGCTGAACCAACCAATGCAGTGAGCTTCATTTTAGGAATCGACCAAGAAGACAAAGACGAAGGGAGTGGGATAACCAGATTTTCGGGACCTAACAGAGCCCTTTTATTGTTCCCATGCTTGGCGGAATCAACAGAGGGCCTTGTAAGAGATTAGATGCGATTGATAAAATACCCCATAAGTTTATTGCTGGATACGGTATAAAGTGGACAAGCTGTGGATAATGGTAGTATTAACCTTGTTCTGGACGTAGAAAGATGGTGATCGACAAGCATTAAGACCCAGAGACCCAAGTACACCAAGAAAGTTTGATTCATAAATGCCTCACTGATGATGCTGAGGGAAGAGTTGTTCAGTTTGTTCAGATCTATGCTCAGAGTGGGATAAAGCGTGAATACCGTGAGAAGCTCAACTATACCCGTGCCTATTTCAACTCACAATACCTTTCACCATACATTCTTCTCTGACCACAGACTTTTGAGTTGCGTATAGGAGCACTATAAGTGGAATTGATTTAAACTATACGTCATGTTGGTCCTTGCAGAGGCAGTGTTTTCTCCTCGGTTGACCTAAGGACCCTGACCCTATGATGCTTCATACTAGTTCCATCAGATAAGATTCTGATAAACATTCTACCGGTTCAGTATCTTGTGCAACATACACGAGGTAAATAGAATAGCAGTTTTCTTATAGCAACCCTTGTATGGATATTTTTGCCGTTGTGTTTGAAGAACATTGTTAATAATTCTAACAGTTCTATGAACTTGCTGCTACAGAGACAAAAGATATTTTCTCCGATGACGGAGATTTGATGCCAAGTTATGAACCCATCATGTATTACGTGCTGTGGGGACTCTTGGTTGTTATTTACCTCCTAGTAGGTAACAGGCAAGAAGAAACTCATGCGAGAATCTTCTGAAGCCTCACATATTTTGCACGAAGGTAACATTAATACTAAGTCAGTAGAAACAAAAGGCTACATTTATGCTCAGTCCGACGTTTTATATAGATAACATGGCATTTCGTGAAATGAGGACTGATTATAGGCAATGAGGATTACATATTTGGCATTTGTAAACAAGATTGGTGATTGTGATCAGTATGTACATTAGTTACGCCCGTGTCAACTATCTGGAGGTTTCATAATCCCCAATTGAAGAAGAACGCAGCACCTACTTGGCTGCAGAAACTCTGTTAACATAAAATCAACATGCGTAATGGTTCCTATTCATTTGCGTCGTTGCCTCTTTTCTAAAAGATATTTGCTTTCTGCGTTTACCCAAAAGTTTGACAACAAAAGGATCGAAAACCAAGAGAGAAAATGACAATAACAACAGGGAGAAGTCCATACGGCAAATCACTTATCTGGCGCTTGATATTGGATTCATGAAATCATCGAGTCAGCAATTAAATTTATTGCTGGATAATGTTGCGGCGCTTCCTGAACGGCGTGACAGTGCAGCATCACCTTCTCTATTCTAAAGGCAAGATATTTCCCATTGTGTGATCTATTCATTAATTCATTCACCTGCCTGCTCGGGTACTTAACACATTCTCCCCATTAACCCTGTCTCCGCTCCATTGTTCTTCTGCATAAACATTCTTTATATAGCATATGCACATCTATTGAAGAAACCAGCGCGCGCACCAGTTTCAAAGAACAAAGAACATTCAATAGCAACTGCATTCAATTTCGTTCAATATGGCGCGTCGAAAGAAAGGGGTGAAGCATGCTATGAGTCCTCAACCAGATCTAGCAATCACAAAGAAGAGCAGAGACATATATCTCGTCGAGTTCCCTGGAGGAACTCTGATAGAAACTCAACCTTCTGCTATCCATCAGCTCGGCACCTTCACCATGCCTCCTATATCCAAGCCAATCGAGGTTTCATCGATTAAGATCAAGGATACTGGCCTCTGTACATCTGAGACTCTCCTATCCGACTTGCCAATCCGTTCTACCGCAGCCTCAGCGCTTTTGGCACTGTCATATCCTCCTGTTGACAACTTTGAGAATGTAGAGAGCGCGAAAGGTCCAAAACAAGGCGATCGTACTAAGAAAACTAACTATGATCTCTCCGAAGAGCATCTCAACGCACTTTCTGTTCGTGAGAAGCTTCGCAAAGGTATCGCCATGGGCTTTGCCAACAACATAGCATATGGAAATGCCACCGATGGTATGATCCAGTCAAATTTTCAGCGTACTCCTTGTCCACTATCTGCCGACTCAATGACTGTTGCTTGCATAATGAAAACCACGGCTCGTCAGCGTCATATGGACTCGAAACTCTACCACCATTGGAATGGGCCAGCTCAGCCAACAGAAATGGTTAACCACGGACTGATGGTCGAGGGATCTGAAGCTCCTGGACCACAGGACGCCAAAAAGGGGAGAACGAAACATAAGAAAGACAGAATGCCTAATGTGTGAGTTTGTCAATCTTTCTTGCAAAGCCTGGACTGCCCTTGTTGACATGAATTCAGGGTAGCGGCTAGCCAGCGACTTCAAGTTATTGCTGAAACCGCCAACTTCAACCCATTTAAACCTGACTTTTCGTTTCCAAGGCTTACCCCAGGTCGGGCCATGATTGTTGAGCCTTCTGGGGCTGAACAGCGGGAAGGGCTGGTGTCTTGGCTTGATTCCGCTTGTCGTCGTTTCGGATACAAATCACTTGAAATCGATTCGCTCTCATTCAGACACGACCACAAGCATAACAAGTTGACCAAGCTGGAGCTTGATGATGGTCTATGGATTTCACCCAACGGCAAGTATTCCCAGCCCACAAAGATTGATACCGAGGAAGGCAGCATCACTATGTATGAGGCGAACATGTAAGTTCCCTTTCCAGATTTGTCAGTCCAGGAAACTGATGTACGTATGAAAGTCCTTTCGGAAATCCCCCTTCACTGCAGAAGTGGATTTGGTTCAAGATCGACAAACCGCTCATAACTAGCCAAGGCGACAGGATGGAATATTTTGGAGCCGCACCTACTTCTGTCCTCACTTTCGCCATCCCCGCGGTCAGGATTGAGAAGGTCAAGGAAGAGTAGAACCCACCCATGACTTTTCATCAGGCTAAAGGCCAAGAGCAGTCTAAGATGGGCCTACCTACGAGACTTGGGGATTTTGGGCGATTGAAAATGGATGCATACGCCGATGCAAGAGAACGCCAGCTCATTCAAGAATGGAGGTTCAGCAAAGATGGTATCCCTACCTTTACCATCTCACCCCATCCGCAGGTCATGGCTGAACGGAAATTCCCTCCAGACTTTCTCTGGATTGAAGCGGTGCCTACAAGGGAAGAGGTCAGAGCTGTAGACAAGACGCAGAGTCGCGAACTCTGGTGGCACCATATCCGACAACAGGCAATCGACGACCATAAATTCTGGTACTGGGTGCAGAAGCTCATGGGTTGCAATGTCTGCCTCGTCGAGGCCACGTCCAAGAAAGGGGCAGGATGGGTCCGATTCAACCCTGAACCGCAGCAGAAGAACGAGGGACGAAACCTGATGCTAAACCTAGGGTCTGAAGTCCGTCGACCTGTAGCCCGAGGGGCATCTCGGCTACGCAACGAAGTTTAGAGCGAATGAGAGTGATCAAGGGGCAAATATCTGTCGTTACATGCCTGCTGTCAAGTTTTGGTGGCTGCCCTATGCTATCAGCAGCCAGAAATTCTTTTGGTGCCCCAAGGAAAAGGGATGCAGACGAAGCTCGCCGAGTGGATAGCCACAGGAAGGATGTAAGCGGTCGGTTCTGCTTGCTTGATCATTGTAGCGACCTGTAATGTAGGGGCTTTATGGTTAGTAGTGAGGTTAGAATTCAGGTAGATTATAGCTGATCCAGCACATCGTAGTCACGCGGTATTGCTAGGATCAGTAGCAATGGGTTTGACGATGGGGCCAATTTAAACCTTTTGCTTTGAATTACTTCCTTTTCTTTCCTTTGGACTTTTCCTCCTTCTTGCCCCCATCCATACCGGCCCTTGCAAAAGCATCACTTGCCGCAGCAGTGATAAACCTGAATCTTTTGGACCCCAGGTGGGCACCGCCATACCATCGTGTAACCACCACCATCGAATCCCAGAGATCCATCGACTGCATAAGCTGCAGAAGACGGGATCCGGCTCCCGTCTCACCGTCGTCATTAAACTGCTGATGGCCAGCGCCGTCACCTCTGATACGCCACGCTGTAATATTGTGTGTTGCATTGCGTATACGTTTATCCGATTCGAGCAGAGAATCGACATACGATGAGGCCTGTGAGGGACATGTTACGGGGGAAACGTGTGCTATAAATTCTGAGATGCGCTTTGAAGGCGTCCAGGACGGAGGCTGTGATTTAGGCAGAATAGATCGTACTGCTCTTTTCGTTGCCATGACTTTTCACAGTGTGCTTAGCCAAGACATGAACATTTAATAAAGACGTGAATACTGAATGGTGCTCCAATGTCTTTACTCGATGTCTTATCTTGCTTGTCTCGTTGGTAAGTGTAGTTACTCAAAGGCAGCCACAATTATAGTGGACGAATCGAGTACTGTATCAGGCTTTAATGAGTGATAGAGGGGAAGCTATGAGCAGCTCTGAGGCTCCTGGCTCTTGTGATTGGTTACTTTGGAATCCGGAGGATTCTTTAAAGGTTAAAAGCTGCTCAAAATTGAAGGGTACCTGCCTAAACCTCAATACTGTATGAGCTTAGAGGTAGCTTACCTGTTGAAGGCGGGGCGGGTTAATATCAAGGCCGAGGGGAGTGCAGATTGGAGATTGGAGCCGCCTCGTCCTCCCCGCCAAAAATCCTCAGGACCACACGGCGATAGGTATCCACATTGTACTGAACTTTTCTGGTCCAGTGTCTCTGTGTGTGCGCCCCTCAACAACTGTTCTTTCACCTTAGCCTTTTGCCTTGCCCCTCCGACACCGACATCCAATCCCTGGCATCTTCTCACCTCCAAAATTCCGGCACCCTACGATTTTTCTCCGCTTCAGAGTTGGCCAGACGTTACGCCGTTAAAAAGGAATTAAAAAGATCAAAAATCGCCCATCATGCAGGCTCCGGTGGTGGTTATGAGTAAGTAATCCTGAAATATAAAACCCCCACTTCCCTTCCTCGAGAGCGAACCCCTGGGTCCTCTGCCTAAAAAGAGAGGGAGAGGGAGAGGGGAGCTTCCAAAACAAAACGTTATCCAAAGCTGACCGAGGTGTTGCGTTGCAGACACCAACAGCGGTGAGAGGCAAACTGGCCGCAAGGCTCAGCTCTCCAACATCGCTGCTGCCAAAACGTATGCCATTGTCCCTTTCCTCCTCGAGTCGCGTGTCCGACCCTAACCAACGATGCCAGTGTTGCTGATATTATTCGATCATGCCTCGGTCCCAAGGCCATGCTCAAGATGCTGCTCGACCCCATGGGCGGTATTGTCCTCACAAACGATGGTCACGCCATCCTTCGAGAAATCGAGGTCTCCCACCCTGCCGCGAAGAGTATGATTGAGCTCAGCCGGACGCAAGACGAGGAAGTTGGCGATGGAACCACAACTGTCATTATTTTGGGTAAGACGACACGGATACTGTAATGGGGCACATCACTGACATTCACCAGCTGGTGAGATCCTCGCCCAAGCTCTTCCCCAGCTCGACCGCAACATCCACCCTGTCGTCATCATTTCCGCCTTTAAGCGAGCCCTCAAGGACGCCCTCGAGATCATTGAGGAGATCTCCCTGCCGATCGACGTTAACGACGACAAGGCCATGTACCAGCTCATCTCTTCTTCAATCGGCACCAAGTTCGTTTCGCGATGGATGGACCAGATGTGTGATCTCGCCCTCAAGGCTGTCCGCACTGTGACGTGGGAGGCCGGCAATGGCAAGACCGAGGTCGACATCAAGCGATATGCCCGTGTGGAAAAGGTTCCCGGCGGCGAGATTGAGGACAGCAGGGTTCTCGATGGTCTTATGCTCAACAAGGATATCACACATCCCAAGATGCGCCGGCGCATTGAGAACCCCCGAATTGTCCTCCTCGACTGCCCCTTGGAGTACAAGAAGGGCGAGTCCCAAACCAACATTGAGATTACCAAGGAGGACGACTGGAACCGAATTCTGCAGATTGAGGAGGAACAGATCAAGGCTCTGTGCGAGGCTATTGTTGCTGTCAAGCCCGACCTTGTCATTACTGAGAAGGGAGTGTCTGGTATGTATTCTTGATGCTTTCCTACACCTTCACGATGGCTTACTAATTCGGTCATAGATCTTGCCCAGCACTACTTCATGAAGGCCAACATCACAGCTCTCCGCCGAGTCCGAAAGACCGATAACAACAGAATAGCTCGCGCTACCGGTGCTACTATTGTCAACCGAGTAGAGGACCTCCAGGATTCCGATGTCGGCACCCGATGCGGTCTCTTCGAGATCGAGAAGATTGGCGACGAGTACTTCACATTCCTTACCAAGTGCCAGGACCCCAAGGCCTGCACTGTCCTACTCCGTGGTCCCTCCAAGGATGTTCTCAACGAGATCGAGCGAAACCTCCAGGATGCCATGGGTGTCGCACGAAACGTCATGTTCTCCCCCAAGTTATCGCCAGGTGGTGGTGCCACAGAGATGGCCGTCTCCGTGAGGCTGGGTCAGCTCGCCAAGAGTATTGAGGGTGTTCAGCAGTGGCCTTACAAGGCCGTGGCAGATGCTCTCGAGGTTATCCCCCGAACTCTGGTCCAAAACGCCGGCAAGAGCCCCGTCCGTGTGTTGACGGATCTCCGAGCCAAGCAAGCCGAGGGCAAGAGCACTTACGGTGTCAACGGCGACACAGGTGCCATTGCTGATATGAAGGAGTACGGAGTTTGGGAGCCTCAGGCTATCAAGCTCCAAAGCATCAAGACCGCCATTGAGGTAAGTTTTACATGACATGTCGACCTGCTTCTGTATTGGAACACGCACTAACACATTAACTAGGCTGCCTGTCTATTGCTCCGAGTCGACGATATCTGCAGTGCCAAGAAGGCAGCGCAGATTGGCGGCGGCGGCGGTGGCGATGAGTAAAGAAATAGATGATGCACATGAGGAGGATGTTGACGATGTGATACAACGCGGGAGTGATAGTGGGAATAAAGTCCGGAGGCAAGTGTGTAATTCGGGCTGCTTCATATGAATGTCTGTGAATAGACTGGCCATACCCCCCCCTCTGTACTAGCCGAAAAAGCAAAATAGACACAAGAAAGATAAGACAAAGAGGAGCGCCAGGGCTGAGCATGATAAAGCTTGGGAGACTCTGAGATGAAAGAAAAGGGTATCATATAAATTACCTGGCATACAAAGTTGCCGTTTCTACTTGCGAGGCTGTCACAGAGCGTTCTTCCTCCAGCGACACAGAACCAGGCACTGTTTTTAGCATTATCCTCCTCTATCACAACCGTGTTTACCGATATATGTACATCCCCCTTTTGCTTGTTTTGTTGGTACAGGACTATTTCCAGCCTGATCAGTCGTCTTCGTCGTGAATGACCAGGCCTGCAGGTTGCATGAACGATGCTGATGCCAAGCCATCCTTGCCAGCATGGGTCTTAGAATCAATATCAGCAGCATTTGTTACAATAGCATCGTTGTCCTCGAATGGGGAGTCGCCTCTTGACAGCGTCGTGTTAGGTTTCTTGTCTGTCGCACCAGCGGGACCTTTGCCCTTTTTGCCCTTGCGAGCTTTCATCTTTTCTCTCTTCTCGCGGTTTTTGCGTGTGCGCTCCTCGTCCTTGCGATCGCGGTCACTCTTGTCCTTGGTAAACTCTTCGATGTCCTTCTCGCGACGAAGATCCTCATCCATGCCGCGTAGACGCTCGTACTCGCGTCGGCGACTGGCCTTGTAGACGTGGAACTCGCCCGAGCCGGCTCCAGCGCTGGAGCCCTGAACGTTAGTAACGATTTCCGGAGGTGCGGAACGTAGGACGGCGGAGCCGCTGCCGGGGGCTGAGGGGTCGGGGATACGGATGTTTTGGTCGGGCTTTGCGAAAAGGGCTTCTACGGAGGCTGCTTGCGCTGAGACGGGCGTGAGAGCGCGCTTCTTTGTTGGACGTTGGGAGCGGGGGTCGGCCGAAGTTGGCACGGATTCGGGACCGAGAGCAGACATTTTTGCGTCTCTTTTCTTCCGAGATGCAGAGGGTAGGGATGAGGTTGTTGGCTCGTAGGGGAAATGGGCTGATGGGACACGCGAAAACGAGATGTCGACGGGCGTTGAGCGCAGTAGACCAAGGATAGTCGGATGAGAATAAGAAAATGCGTTGAGATCTGTTGAGAATGATGCGGGCGGTCAGATGGGTGCGTGTTAGTAAGTTGATTTGACACGTGAAAAAGAGATAGAAGGAACTTGATATCCGGTAGTTTTGTAAGGATTACAAGATGGTGGTGGACTGTTCCAGGTACGAGATGAAGGTGGCGTGCAGGGTTGCCAAGAATTAGCCTGAAGGAACGAAGGCCCTTCAAGAAACAATGGTAGTTTTCTTTGCAACTGCTTGTGGAACGGATATGTAACGCCGTTGAGTATCATGTAGACTGAATCAATTGAATTTAGAATACTCTTTTAAGTAAGAATTAGTAAAGCAATTCACATGAATATACCGAAAAGATACTGCCTTGGTACCTTGGTCGGCAGTAGTCCTGTGATGGGTGTATCATTGGTTAAGCGCGCGGTAGTCAATTTCCATCAAGCTTTCAGTCAGGCGCATCAAAAGAGCATAGTTGAAAGGTAAGCCCCGACAGTTAGACGTAATTGGGAAACCCGCTGATGAACATGTGATTGAATTTAGTGTCAAACAGGCAATTGAATCGTCTGTTGGTTGTTATCGAAAGACAAAGATCATCACTGCAAACATGATGAGAAGAGGAAAATGCTAGACAAAGCTCAAAAGGGTCTCAGTCGTTTATGGATTTAGCCAAAGACAAAGTAAAGTATGTGAGTCGCAATCGGTGATTGATGGCGCTTCCCGTTGCAGATCATATCACCTCGCCGTAGAGATACGCTGTTGGTGCCGTTGTCAAGTGATCAGATGCATACAGATTTGACATGGTGAAGCTGTAGATCCAACAGTCACGACAAAGTGCATAGGCAAGGGTAATTAACCGTAGGTAGGATTATAAATAAAAACACCACGAGATGTAATGATAACTACCGAGACGGGAGGCCCGATAATAAACAAGTTGAAAAAAACAAGAACAGGTTAAAATGGATGCATGAGAATGAGAAGGATGTGAACTGAAATGTCCTGACATTGTCTGCTTAAAACGGCCAGAATTACTGTATCTGGCTCTGCAGATCTTTAGGATTGGTCGAACCAACAGACAGCCCCCTCCCAGATTGTCAGATTCTTGACATCTTGACAAGGGGACATGTAGAAATCATATGATTTTGAGATAAGGAACGAACCAACGGATATTCTCTGCCGTCTGCAAACCCATCACATCAAAACACTGAATCGTATCAGCGGACTTGGACCGCCATATGATTTTCTGGGTCAACTCAACCAAGATCGTTTTTAACCTTAAGGTGCATTAATCATGATTAGCAAAACCGTTTGCGGGACTAGATCGTGTCATGGGGGGAGCTTCACCCTTGGAAACCCTGATGGTAGCAGGGATTCAAAGAGATTTGTTTGAGGCTAGCTCTTCTCTCAGGGACCGTCATGGGCTGTTGTCTTTTTTAAGATTGTTTTTGGTTATCCTGTGTGATCATCAGTTTCATTGAGAGACCAGTTGCTATTGGACAATTCGCCTGCGCTTGGAGCACGACTGAGAAGCTGTTTTTGTGCTTGTCTCGACAGATGGCGGGGCGGCTCCGGCCCCAAGGAGGGGGGGTACCTGCTTTAGATGTAGAATACCCTGCCTGAGTCAAGTATCTTTTGTCTTCTGGGCTGAGGTGGTGGTGGGGATATCCCGGCACTGTATATTCTTAGTACCTTTTTGGCGGGGCGGTTTTTTGTCGGAAACATGGCTGATGGTTGCGTTGTGTTGCACTTGCCCTCACTCCCGGTCTAGATTTGTCTCGTGAGCCAACGAGGGGCAATGATTACCATACCTTTCTTGCCTTGTACTTTAGACAAGCAAGCCTCATTAAGGAAATCTATCAAGTAAAAAAGACGTCGTATGTTCCTTTCTTTTTAATAGGGAGCTACTTTGCTTCTCTACACTTTCCATCCTCTTCCTTCCTCTCATAATCACTGACTCTTTCCCGCTACACCTAGCTTACCAATTACAAGCCTATCAACAGCACATACTGCCTAACTTACTCCGCTATATTCTATCCCGTCCTATCTCGGACCTTCACCCGTTAAACCGACACAACCTTGAAACCTAGACTTGACATACGCAACAACCAAGTCTTCCAACGCATCCTTCGAATATTCTTGACCTTTCAAGATACCAACTTGGATATCCATCATAATTAACACCCTAAATCAATCAACCTCGATATTTTGACATCATATCTGAAACATCATGACAAAACCACGGTTGATCATCTTGGTTCGCCACGGCCAGTCTGAAGGCAACAGTATGTTATTCCCAACTCCAGTCCCTTTCTTTTCTGTTCCACAAACAAGCATACTTATCATCACGCAGAGAACCGCGAAATCCATCAGACCGTCCCCGATCACCGAGTCAAACTCACACCAGAAGGCTGGAGCCAAGCCCACGATGCCGGACGTCGACTCCGAAGCCTTCTTCGACCTGATGATACTCTTCAATTCTTCACCTCTCCCTACCGCCGAACTCGAGAGACCACAGAGGGAATCCTGGAAACCTTGACATCTGACGAAGACTCTCCATCACCCTTCCGCCGAAATAACATCAAGGTGTACGAAGAACCTCGACTACGCGAGCAGGACTTTGGCAATTTCCAGCCATGCAGTGCGGAGATGGAGCGTATGTGGCAGGAGAGGGCTGACTACGGCCACTTCTTCTACCGCATACCCAATGGCGAGAGTGCTGCCGATGCTTACGACCGTGTTAGTGGCTTCAACGAGAGCTTGTGGCGGCAGTTCGGTGAAGATGATTTCCCCAGTGTTTGCGTTTTAGGTGCGTGGTCATGTATTGTTTGCTTTTCCCATTTTGCTAACAAGGTTATTCAGTTACTCATGGTCTCATGTCCCGTGTCTTTCTCATGAAGTGGTATCATTTCACCGTTGAATATTTTGAAGACCTTCGCAACATAAATCACTGCGAGTTCCTTATTATGCGCAAACAGGAGAACCAAAAATACCTTCTTGAGAACAAACTACGAACGTGGTCTGATCTACGACGAGAGCGAAAGGACAAGAAAGAAAAAGATGATGACAAGGATTGCTCCAAGCTGCCACGTACCAAGACTTTTGTCGTGACACGTCGTTGGGGTGGATGTCCCAATGGCTGTGATCACGGCCGTGGCTATGCCAAGCGCGAGGATCTAGAGGTGATGCGAAAGAAGGACCATGAGAATGGTGGTCCCGCACCTTATGGAGAGTCCGCATGTGCGGATGAGATCGTCACAACAATCATTAACCGGAAGCAAAAGTCTCGAGGCGACCGCGTCGAAAGCAAGGGTGAGAGTGACACCCCTGTGATCCCCGATGATGATGATGATGATGATGGTCCCGAGATCGACATCTCCTCAAACCATGAAGGCAAATCTGTTTCTGACATCAACGACACTCCTTCAGTCATTTCCTCTAGCGAATACATCCAGTCTCCCTACCTGCATATCGGTCGCGATGGGGGCGGTAGCTACTCGGGCCACACCTCCGCTGCGGAGACGGACAACGACTCGTCGGAGGATGAGAACATCAGCTTACACCGAATCGCCTCCCTGAACGCCCACCAAAACAAGAATGCCGGCGACCAAAACGACACGCCCATATGCAACCACCAGAAACCTCTCCTCAAAGCTGGCCCCGAGCGTTTGACCTACACGAGCGATAAAGACTGCACGGATGATTCATATGTTCGATCCAACCGACTTGGTGATGCCTCTACTGACACTTCCCTTGATGGCGACGCCGATCATTTTGATGATTTGGACCATGCAGAGAAAGAGGATCGCAGCATTCGTGGAAGTGTGTATTGATTATAATCTTACCCGGATGACCTCACTCTCACTCTCTTATGATTTCGATTTCATAAAAAACAGCGGATACCAGCCCGCCTCGCGGGGCAAATTGTTTTGACGATATTCATAACTTTACTCTAATGACGCATGACTTTATTTTATTTTCTTGGAACGGATTACGGAAAAGCAATGGATAGAATGACTGACTGTGCTGGCATGGTTTTTTTTTTGAAATTGAAGTTTTGCTATCTTTGGAGGACCTGATGGCATTTATTGTGGTATCACATAATAACACTTTTGTTCCTCATTTTTATTCCTTTTTACATGGACCGTGATATGATTTGGCATGGCTTTGTGAAGCGCAAGACGTTTGGTGTCACACATCTTGGTGAAATATTTTGTAATTAATGTTGTGAAAGGCACTGCCGCTGCACGAGGCAAAAAATACTGTGCTCAGTTTCTACTTTGTGGCTTTGTACATGCCGAATTCAGCCTAACTGTCGTACAAGGCGTGATAAGGAGCTACTTTTGTATATGTTAAGATTTGTCCTAACCTTTGTTTTTCTCGTATACTTGGATGATCATATGCGTACGCCCCTTGGATAGATCTGGCTGACCCCAGTCCCTATGGCTACCTCTCGCTTTAAGTCTCTTCGTCTTGATCGTAATCTTGATCTTCGTCTTCCTCATCCAAACAATGAACCATTCCCACATCGTTGGGATACATGTCAACTAGGATCTGCCATATTCGCCTTCTGTTGGTAAAACCCATCGGAACAGTTAAGCCAAATGTTTGGTAGCTCCATGGATTCTCTAGCTCGTCATCGTCATTGGAGACAAAGATGGGAACCTCGGACAGGACTTGTCTGACAAGCTTTTCCCAATTCCACTCGAATGAACCGGATACGGCTTCTTGTTCTTTTGCCTCGATGATGTCTTTCTCGAGATCTCGTAGGAAGGGAATTTGAAAGATAATGTCTTTCCAACGGGATTGGGGCATGAGATAGGTGCACTCTAGAGATATGCAGCCCTCTATCAGAAAAGAAGTGATGGTTTCTTCGATCTCGGGAGGTAGGTTGTTGAGACTGGTGTTAAATTGTTTGTGAGTTGACGAGGGTTCTACTCGCTCAAGATTTGACACAAGTGCTTCTGTCAAGTGAGGTATGTCGAGAGGGTTATGATTCCACTGTTATTTGTATTAGTACTGGTGTGGTCCATCTTGTATTCAAGACTTACCCATTCCTGTGACCAATCATCAAGGACAGACTCCTCGGTACAAATAGCTTGCCAGGGGATATAATACCTTTCGACCCCCAACTCGATAGGCTTACCTGGTTTGTTGTTAGGAACATGAGGAAGACACAACGGTACAAGAATCCCCTCGTCAAAAGCCTTGACACATCGTCGATCAAGCGTCATTCATAGATCGGCCATGGTTTTAATCTCGCTCGCAGGCGTGTATTCATAGCTTTCCTCGCCAGGGTCTCGCAGGCAGCGTGGAGGCAAAGATACCAGCGTGGTCCGTCATTTAGACTATAGCTTGGATGCTGCTTAGGAATATTTTTGATTTGAATATTGACCTTGAGGCCAGTTGAAGAGATGGTAGCTTGGCTACGGTTGTATATATGAGCTTTTTGGACAGTGACATTTTCTTCAGGAATGGCGGTAGACGTGGGCCCTTTTCCCTCCGCTGGCCAGGTCGGACCTGAAAGGAGGATATTGTCTTCTCTCCATTTGAAAGGGTTCCAATCTGGGGGCGTATTTTCATTTGTATGTGTAGGTGAGTAGGAAGGAGAGAGTTCCCATAGTTGAATGGCGCAGATCATGCAGACGCCTTCTGCGACTTGGGTCATATTGATGATTTGTTTTGACTAAGAGAAAACAGTGGATGACAAGATAAAAGGAAGCTTTAGAAATGATTCATTTTTTCTTCTACTCAGCCGCAAATGCGAGCTTGGGTAGTAGCCCCTCACTTGAAGCCATGACTTGATTAGCTTTGGACCCTGAATATCTCGAATGTGACTAGAACTGCTTAGTTACTATTAGGCTTGTTTTAGTTACTGACACGAAAACAAAAGCCTCTTTATCAAGGGTTCTTCCCATCATCACAGGTTACGCTGAGAACAAGGCTAGAGTCAGAGTTGTATCACCAAAATATGTAGGACTCTATGATGTGGATTTGGTGAAGGCTCAAAGATTATAAGTGATCCTGCAGCGCAGTCAGCGTTGAAATGAAACATGCCTTATTTCCGAAGGTGGATATTATGAACTGAAACTCAGTCTTATGACTGTTTCGTCAGTGATATGACATAGTCGTGTAAGACGTTGAACGGTTCGTTTCTCTCTCCTATTCTCGAGGATATATTGTTACACAGCTGAAAATATCTCATGGCTGTGGTTCTATGTTTAGTGGGCGAGGCATTATTCCAACTTGGCATAGTCAATGAGTTTAGATGGATGATTGATTGATGATATTCGTATATATAACAGAAGGAGAATTCATTGATAGCCATGTTCGTTCTATACATATCCTCACAGGCACTGTCTCGTTGATAATATTCCATTTACTCTTTGATTGTGAGATTCTCTTTTCATTTCTTACTTGGTGGTGCTGGATCAGCTGTCATAGCTGGACCATGTAAGCCATCACCTCCATCTTCATCTACAGACCAAGCCGGTTATGCATCCACTGCTCCTAAATATGAGATATATAGCACAGCCTCTGTTGCTATTCCAGCGACTGGATATCAAAACCCTGAAGTTGCTGAGCCTCATGAGCTTCCCAAGTTCTCTTTCCCTCGTATTCCAAGTGTTTCACCAGGCTGTCGTTCTTCCCCTGAGACTCGTGAGGATAAAGAACCTGATGATGAAGATGAAGACAAGAGTTCCAAGATGACGTGCACTGATATCACCACTGCTAGCGATTGTCTTGTGTATTGTCCCACGCAGGACTCTAACGGTAAAGTAGAATGCACCACAACTTGTACGAGGACACAACCAGGATGGATGCAGCGTCTCAGGTATCACGACCACTACGTCTGCTAAGGATTGCAGTGCTACAGAGATAGGCGGTTCTTGCACTACTTGCCAGAAGGATGTATTCTTTGTTAACGACAATAAAGAAGTCGAGTTTATCGAGATGAATGATGAATTTTGAGCTTTTTTTTTATTTCAAATGTTAGCTTTCGATCGAAAAGCTAGTAGCTAAAGTGTAAGAGTCTAGCTGACAAGTAACTGTCAAACAAGGTCGGATAGATTTAAATCTTGGTCTATCCAGTTCATCCTCATGCACGTCTATAAGAACCACCTCTTCTTTGTCAATAATATCAACAGAAAGAAGTCAAGTTTATACCCTTACGGCTCATCCCATCCCTTTACCCTCAACCCAACACACACACACGAAGGTGGTGGCAAGATAACCAAAATAATGCACATTAAACAAACACCATAACACCGCATCCAGTCTTCTGAGTTTCCTCCCAGACCTTCACAAGTCCTTCAACTCGGATGAGAGAAGACCAAGAAGAAGAAAAAAATCGAAAAGAAGAAAGTAAAGAGTAAACAAAAAGGCTCAAAAAAGACCACGGGCACCGATTAATTGAACTGCCTTGAGCCCTACAGAAAACCATGTAGAGTCGCCAACGCCTTAGGGGGGGGGGAATGTCCCATAGTATGCAGAAAACAGTTTTCCGACCAAAGCGGGAAACGCGTTTTTGATGTAAAGAATCATATAAACTGGATCGAATAACAGTAACGAGATCAAGTCATATACAGAGCCTCGAGTCACTTCTAACTCTTTAATGCCACTGTGAGAATTGTACTCGATTGAGGACACTTGAGACAAGTGTTCGTTGCATGTTTCAATCAGAAATGCTACAATATCATTAAATATTGTCGGAGAAGTTGTGGACCGTCGTATAGTGGTGTGAAGAAGCAAAGGAGCTGGCAGATGCTACAGCCTTGCATCGTGTGCGGTCGGGGAAGAATAGTCCGAGCGAGTTCCATCGTAATCAAAAGAACGTGGACATGGCTCTGCTGAGATCGATAAAGTCAACAGGTTTCGCGACATAGTCACTGAATCCTGCCGCAGCGCATTTTTCCTGAACGTCTGACATGACATTGGCCGATAAGGCGATGATTGGCATTGGGGAATAACGGTTGGCAGCTTCCCACTGACGAATCTCACGGCACGCCTGGTAACCATCCTTTCGGGGCATATGGAGATCACACTAGAGAAGTACATGTTAGCAGTCGCTAGAGGTTGTGGGTTTATAATGAATCCACATACCAGGATAAGGGAATAGTGCTTGTGAGGCTTTGACAAAACCATGGTGGTACACTCGGCACCGTCAACGGCGATCTCGACATCCACGCCGATCTTCTTGAGGAACTTCATCAAAACCTTTTGGTTAACAGGGTTGTCCTCAACCAATAGCACTTGGTAGCCCTTGTTGCCCATACGCCGTTCAATCTCCTGGTAGCTAGCCTTCTGATTCTCGACCATTTGCTGAGCTGTAGACCGGTTGCGATCTATGCTGAGGTCGCGCATCTTGTTCGGGTCGAAAATGACAGCAAATCTGGATGGTTTCACAGGCTTATAGATAAATGTCACCAGGTTGTCCGAAAGGAGCTGGGCATACTTGGTGCCGGCAGCCAATTTGAGAACTGCCTGCCGTTGCACAGAATCCGACAAGACTAGAATAGTCGTCTTGTCGATGCTCTGCGTCTTTGTGATATCGTCCATTAATCCAATGATGGCCTCGGGCGACGGGAGATTGATAACAATGTGTGTGAACTTTATAGGGTCTTCTCCACTGATCAATGTCTGCGCCTCCTTTACACTTGCCAAAGCTGTGATCTGGTGGGGGACATCCTTCGGTAGAGTCATCTCGATGTGCTGAGTAGTAGCTTCGCGGCTGTGAAACTGGGGACAGATGATGAGGATTGAGTACATGGGAGGGCGGAAGTCCTCGGGTGATCCAACGCTAGGTAGCAGGTGAGTGCCAGGAGAGCTGCGTCCTGAGGGCATCTCCAGCTTCATCTGGGATAAATCTTGCCCACTAGCCTTGGCTGCTTCACTAAAGCGGGCCAGACCTCCGGTGACAGATGTTGCGGACGACCGGTCGGTAACATGCGACTTTGTTGAGCGAACAGATGGGTTAGAGCTGCCAACCGAAAGACCTCCAGGTGACGTAAATTCGGAGGTTGTCCCTCCAGGGCTGGCAATCTCGACGTTGCGCAAATGCTTCGGTGGCGGCAGAGGTTTGATGCTATTCGGAACATTATCCACCACCTCAGGTCTTGGCGTGTAAGCGCCAGTAGGCGGAGGGCTGTCAGGCAAGTTGGGGTGGTCTTCAGCTGTAGGAAGACCGAATCGTGCTGTAAAGGTGAAAGTCGATCCTTTGCCAGGTGTAGCTCGGCCAGTCATGTTACCGCCGTGTAACTCGGCCAGTTGCCGTGAGATAACAAGACCAAGACCACTGCCGCCGTGCTGGCGGGTACTGCTTCCATCAATCTGACTGAATGGTTTGAAAATCAAGTCGGCTTCTTCTTTGGAGAATCCACGTCCCGTGTCGGTGACAGAGAACTCGAGCATGATCTCGTTGTCATCAACATTGGAACCCTCTGCCATGTACACGCGGCACCGACTGAAGACCTCACCTTCGGAAGTGAACTTGATAGCATTACCAGTGACGTTGAGCAAAACTTGGCGAATTCGAACCTTGTCGCCTTTGACCCACGCAGGAACGTCTGCCTCCACGAGATAATTAAGCTCCAACCGCTTAGCGATGGCCATGGTTGAAACAAGCTCGTTGACGTCCTCAATCATAGAACGGGTGTGGAACCACTCGTGTTTCAACTTCATCATACCAGCGTCAACCTTGGATAGATCAAGAATATCGTTGATGATCATGATCAAACTATTGGCACTCGTCTGGATCGTGTTGGTGTAATCAAGTTGCTCTTCGTTCAAGGTAGTGTCCTGTAAGAAGCTGACCATGCCAGAGATTCCAATCAATGGAGTGCGAATTTCATGAGACATATTGCTGAGGAATCGTCCCTTGGTCTCCATAGCTTCTTTGAGCTTTGTCTCGAGCAGCTTGTGGTCGTTAATGTCCGTCGCCGATCCGAAATATGAGCTGGCACCACTGCCAAAATCAATTGTGTCAATCTCAACACAACGAATCAAGTGCCAGCGGTATTCTCCAGTCTTGGACAATAAGCGGACCTCGGTCGTATACGAAACTCGACCAGCACTGTCGGTCGCCACTTTGATGATGCCTTTTCGAGCCAGTTCGGTCAAGTCTGCAGTAGGCCACTCATAAGCTGAGCTACCACTGGAGCTGTTGTGGCGGGATAGCACCTGCTGTGCACCGCGCATAGGTGAATCTTGCGGGGTACGGGTTCTGGACGCCTGTATCGTACTAGTTGACGCAGCTTCAGAATGTAGGGATCCTTGCCAATATGCACTGCTCTGCCCCTCACGCCTTTGTCCGCCTGGCGTTGGAGGCTGAGTTGTGGGAATGCGACATTTGGCAAGATCGTCAGGGTGTACAAAATCCATAAAACCCAGGCCGAGTGAGTCCGAAAAGCTTTGGCCAGTGTAAGAGAGCCATTGTTCGTTGGCAAAGGTGATTCCTTCGTCCTCGGTCGCCGTAAAAATGATTTGTGGAATAAGATTAGCCAGTAATCGATGTTTAGCTTCGGACGCTTCGATTTCTTCCTGCCGGGCAGCTTTGAGCTCAGCAATATGTTGATCATGAATGTCCATGTAAGATCCGAGAAATTGCATTATGACCCCCCTCTTGTCTTTTGAGGCAACAGCCCGAGCATAAAACCACCTATATGCGCCATCAAATCTCTTGATCCGGACCGTCCTTGAGAATTGCTCTCCTGTGCGAATAGAGTGGCCCCAGGCCTTTAGATATTCGTCCCGGTCGTCGGGATGAAGACTTCCCCAAGGGTCTGCGGCGAGATCGACTGCTGTTTGGCCTCGGTAAGAGAGGTAACGACTGTTGACCCAGACAATTTCCCCAGTCTGAGGTAGTGAAACAAATACGTGAGCGGGTAACGAGTCTAAAATTAGTCCCTTTAGTCTGTCAGACGGTGGTGGCATATCGACAGCTGTAGTAGTCAACGAGCCACTTCGAGAAGGCGCGCTGACAGGTGTCGGTCGGGCCGAAAGCGTGGAACTGGGTGGGAGAGATTGAAAAGTTGAAGCAAAATCTGCACCATACGAGTGAAGCATGCTGTGTCCTTGACGGTTACCGCGTCCAGTCTTAAGATTGTCAGCCAAGTTCTCAGCTGAATTGTCATCGTTGACGGGATGTAAAGCATCTTTACTGACATCAGGAGCGTCTCCTTGTGAAGACCTTTTTGCCGAATCGGCAGTCGATTCATTGGAAGAAGTGCGAGCTGTCATGTTGTCGACAGGTAGGCTCTGGTCCGAACCCTCCTGCGAAAGAGAAAGGCCGCCGAGACGAGCGCTTCGCTTCTCGGCGGGCGAGGTTTCTTTCGAGCTTGTTCTTATTCGTGGGGTGCCTGTACCGCCAAATGTCTCGTGTCGTGTGGGCAGTGGCCTCTGTCTGGAAGTGAAGTAACTCTCTCCCTGGGTGGTGGCAGCAGGACTCGAGGTCGGCGGTGCCCGCTTCTCAGAAACAAAGCCACCAGACCCTTGATCCCACCCGGGCGTTCCCAAAGGAGATCCCGTAGCACTCTTAGAAACTCCTGAATAGTCACTTGGGCTTGTCATACTGCCAGCCAGTGACTGATGGGGTACAATTTCGTCGGCAGTAAGATAAGCTATGTTTTCCAAAGGACGTCCATCGTGTGCGACCGCTCCGAACCCGGCCGTTTGTGGTCGTTTCCGTTGCAAACCCGCTAGTTCGGTCTCGAGGTTGCTGTAGTGTCGGCACAGTGAGAAAGTTGTGGCCATGTGAGGCGCGAGGTGTTCGAGGGAGTGCTTCAAGTTCGATGGGTAAGGTATAATGGGGCTGAGGATCGACAGGATTGCAATAGGTGCTGACTTGTCTCTCTTTAAGCTGTCTGGTGTATTGCGACCACCTTCCTCGCTCGGGGCAGAAATGTTTTCGCTCTTGGTACGAGAGTGAGACTTTTGCTCCATCAAAGTGCTGTCAAGTTTGAAGGTTCGAGTTGGTTTCGAAAGGAGGACGTGAGAAAGCGGAATATGTAGAACCGTCCATGAATTATCCACGCCGATGGCTTCGGGTGGACGCATCCCTGTGTAGTCCTCTGTGCCGGTATCTGGATTAAAAGAATCTTCATCTACCATAGCATCTGTGAAAAACGGGTTCTCTTTCGGATCGGCCCGCACAGCGGGAGACGGGGCCGGCGATTGTGACCAAGGCGATGGTGGCGCCTGTTCGAACTCTTCGTACTTTGGAGTAGGAGGCCGAGGTAAGTCCTCTTCTAGTCGGCCTTCCAGGCGCGAAGCTATCGACTTTGCTCTGTCAGCGGCTGAATGGGTCTTGCTGCGAGATGGTATACGGGAGGAGCCAGCTGAATTGAATATCGATGACAGTTTCGAAAATGAATCGGACCGCGGTCTAGAAAGGTTCTTGGGGGCGTTCGAAGAAGTTTCTTGCGCAGCAGGCTTTGGTTTCTTTGAAGGCTCAGCGGGAGCTTCATCGGCGAGATAAGGATATGATCTAGTAAGTGCAATGGCTCTTCCACGCTCGAGTACACGCATAACTCCGCTGTGGTCGATGAGAGGATCTGCCTCATAATCAAGAGCCTGTAACACAGGCAAAACACGTCCCTGACCATCCTTCTCTCCAATGAGTGGCTCTTCCCAGCTTGGGATTTGTTGTTCAATGGCGTCATGTTCGTCAAGTGCCGTCTTGTTCAGTTTGGCGAAATCAGCATAGGCCTCCCTGGAGGTACGGCCTGTAGGATAATTACTTTGGCTCCTTGCCAAGAATGCAGGCCTGTGAGCCTGTGCGTTAGGTTGGGCCCAAGACGTTTCCCTTTTCTCTTCGTACGTTGTAAATGAATGCCGGCTGGAAAGGCCAGGACGCGCAGCAGAATTAGCATGCAGGGTATCATCAGCAACCGACGGCGCGGCGATTGACCCAGGTCCAGATCTATCATAATCGCTGTTGCTCAGGCCAATGCTGCTGGAGTGTTTGGCAGCCATGTACCCAAGACTTAAATCATCCTCCCTGTGTTGGTTGAAAGTGGCCTTTTGGCCCCAAGGGACATTTTCGATGTCTGTTGAATCAGCGGGAATGGCTAATGTTACACGTTCGGCTTTATACACATCTCTCATAATTTGAACGACATTCGACCACCAAGCATCCAGGCCAGGTTCAGCCGCGAGCATTAAAGAAAGATCATAAAGGTTAGGGTTAGGGAAATCGGGATTTTGTGGATGTGGTGACATCGCTGATGGGTTGAATGTGAAATTGGACGCTGGAGTCGAAGTGCTTGAGACAAGTTTGTCCTGAGCACCCATGCCCAAGCCTTCAAAGGAGCCATAACTGAAAGATCGAGGGGCGCCTGTTGGTGAGAGGGTGGTAAAGGGTCTATGCAAATACGGCGGTACGAAACCGGAAGGCGCCATGCGAGGGAATGGATAGGATGGGGTACCTGCAATAGGCCCTGGAGTAGGGGCGCCTCGAACGGTGGTGTTTGATTCGGTTGAAGTTGTCGTGAGGGCTGATGTCTGAAGCGGTGAACTGGCAAGACCTTCTTCAGGGATTGGAGAAACCCTGATCTTTTCGTTTGGGCTCGCCATCAGACCTCTAGCTGACATTTCACGACGCTCCAGATCGCGGGCGAGTTTTTCTCGGTATTCGTTGAGCTGCTTCTGTGAGGAAACTTGGGCCTGAGACGCAGTAGCACCAAAGCCTGCACGCCGAGGACTCAATGCATTCGTTCCAGCAAAGGCAGTCGATGTATTGGCAGCGCTACCCGGATCCTTTACAGTAGAAACGGTACTCTGGTCGGTGGAGTCTCCTATCATGTTGTTGTGCACGCGGGGCTGTTTGGATTGAGCCTCAAGGGGCGAGTTTAGAGGGTGGCTCGGGTGGCGATCCGTCGTCATTGCGGTACGCGCGATTGGTGTCGCAGTCGCATCTATAGTCGATTTCGATATCAATTCCGGCATCAGACGTCCATTTCTATTAGCATAGGCTGGTATTTTCTCATCTAGAGGAAAAGGCGACAGGACTGGCGGGCGAGTCGATAAATCGTGTTGACGCGATGGTGACGGTATCAAGAATAAGTCGTCGCCAACCGGCGAGGTGGCTCTTTGCATGCCTTACGGGAGAAGGAGTCGTCAAAGTACCAGATGCCGAATCCTTCTCGCCGGCAGGAAGCGTGGTGTTGAGTACGATTCGCGATTTAAAGTATGTCAAATCAAGCAGCGGTGATGGAGGGGGGGCAAAGATAGAGCTTTGTTCCCTCTAACCCCAGACCAAAAGTGGCAGTACGATAACAGTAGCAACGGTCTGTGTAAATCCCGACACCAGTTGGTCAACCCGAGATATGTTAACGACCCTGTAGGGAGGTCAAGATAGTGTAGGGCCCAGGATCGGAGGAGAGGTTCCAGCAACGGGGCAGCGAGCGGGCAGCGCAACGCAACACACGAGGTTTGAGAGTGGAAAATTGGGGGTTAACCACACCGCGGTGTAGTGTGCCTTTCTGTTTGTCTTGGTCTTCCTGGTGCGGAGAGCGAAATGGCAGCGGTGGTAGCGGTAGAGAGGTGGACTGAACTGGACTGGCCCGGCCTGGTTAGTGAGATAGAGACTGGAGACTCTTTGAGAATCGACTTGATGAAGGTGGGCAAAAGTTGGTGTTTGGCTTGCAGATGGCACAGGTATAGCAAAGTATAGTGCGTGCCTCAGCTGTGTGACAAAGCCTACGATAGCTCCGAGCAGTACCCATCTGGTACTTGGCTAGCCCACGATGCCCGCGCACAGAACGGGGGTAGGCAAAACCAACCCTGCACATAATGACGTAGAGAAAGCGACCCTCAAGGAAGGAAGCAAAATTCCAGGATTCGGTAGATACGTACCTCCATCAAAGTTGCAGCCCAGATTGATATTAGCCTACCTACCTGCACCTCTTCTCTTCTTGACCTACTAACTTCCACTCTGTGCAACGTTCACACACAAGAACTCACGCCATCATGATCATTCTTTCATACAGTAAAATACCAATGCTTCTGGCTCATCAGCCTACTCTTCTCGCATTACATGCACAGACTCGAGCAGTGATGACGCTGCCCTAATAATATCGTCGGCTGCAGCAAGTCAATATCATCCATGCATTCAGGGGATTGGCTGGCCAATGCTTCCCCTTCTGCTCCTCAGCGCAGATTGCACTGAGACCAATAGCCGCAAATGTGGGCGTTGGCGGCTGGTGCATCACTATCGTCATAGCCTACTGTCCCTGGTATCTGGCCAAGCCTCAACCCAGCCGACTTTATGTCCAGCCCCTACATTTGCAAAGATCTTAGTGGCTAGGTCAACTCCACTGGGGGAGCTTTTGGTACAGTGACAACCACCACATCATCCGCCTGTGTCCAATGGCCGTCAGGCACGCATTACCTATGGGCATAACATTTCCTGGGCGAACGATACACCAGCGTTGATTAAGAGGGCCTGGAGGGGGAACAGTGGCTAGCACAACCCATTTTCTGGGTCTCTGGTCCCCTCATTACCCCCCTTGTCAGAGAATTCATTAGGGACGAAGTCTCCGTAGAAGAAACCACTAATCTTCGGTACCCGGAGCATCAGACTCCTTTCAGAAATACATAGTAAGTCAACATTCGGAGCCGACTATCTACCACGATTGACATCATGGGCCAGGTAGATCACGATGTTCTTATTCAATCTCACAACTACCCACGCGCCGTGGTTGAAATCCGCCTCCTTCAACAGCAATCTTCATGAATTTTCTTCTCCTTGTTCGATTGTCAAAATCGCGCTCGAGCCACCATCCTAAGCTATCACCGGTTATGGTGGCCTTTCCCCATAGACCCTCTCGTTCTCCCTCGAGATCGGCGATCCTCAATTAACTGTCTCGCTCTATAGGCATTTTTGACAGGAACCACAACGATTACGGGTCACTGAATTTAGACAACGCTCAAAATAAGGCTGTTTAGGGGATGCTACCTTCCCTCCTAACACCACGAAAACGAGGATAAAGCATCTTTGCAATATCTTATCCAGTTATTGGGCGGGTTATTTGATGCATCCATTTGCTCTTGTATATCGCAGAGAATGCTGATAATAATTAGCGTCTCGGGGGCTGATAATCACAATAGGTTCTTCTAACGCATCATAACTCCACTGACTCCCTCTCAGTCCCCTATTCGTTCAAGGCCCCAAATCAACCACACTCGGCACTCTGTTAACATCACTGTGGCTTTCAGGGCTTCCGCATTCCAGCTACCCGTTGTTTTGTCATTCGTGGAAACAGCCCGCTACAACAATGTAAGAATTAACTTTTCCTTGTCAAGGAACAACCTAGGAAATTAGTCCTATGAAGCTGGAGAACCGCACCATCTTCCTGAGCCTCACTTTCATCGGTAACTCAGAAAACAGAAATTGCAACTTGCATGATCAAGAGGTCAGTGGGGGTCAGCCTTCCATCAGTCTCAAATTTCATTTTGTTTATATTAGGTCCAGCCTGCCGGCCTGCCACGCGGGCCTGTGGATTAACGGAATGTCGCCTGGCCGGCAAAGAAAAAACACGACCACTGATAAACTCATGAGCCCTGCCAATGGGCCAGGATTGGCATAATCCAAGTACCTATTATCATCCAATACACCTGCTGCAAATAAGAGCCCGCCTTTCACCTTTCACAAGACGTTAGTTGCAACTTGCACCAGCGAGCATGCACACGGAAAAAGAGGCTATATTGCAGACATATAAGAGGATGTTGCAGCGCAGTCCTTGTTCTCCACCGCATGCCATTTGTGCGTTCTCATCTCAATGAGCTCAGCTAAAATATGATACTTTGTAGGCTTATAGTGACTTAGAGGAGCAATATTCCACAACAGGCTACTCAGCTGCTGCTGTGTCAGTCACACTAGTCGCCAGCTCTACGGCTGTGTTCTTTTTTATTGGATTTTACTGTTTGTCTCAAAATCACAAGCGTCCACCAGTGTTTGAGACTATTTGTGCTTCGCATGACGTCTGTGTGTTCAGGATGGAACGTGACGTCAAGTAAAACGCCACGAAGAATCAAACCAATCCCCAGGCTGTGGGGTACCATACCCATGTCCATGTCTGGCGACAACGTGTCCAGCCACCAAGGCACGGGACTGTCAGAATGAAGTGAGTAATGGTTCTGCCAAATCAACTGTCACCTGCGGATATATGAACATCTCCGCTTCTTATCACATTGCAAGTCTCCACTATCGACATACAGGGATTGTTTCCTTTGGATTCGTTTTTATTTTCCTGCTGGCATAGTCATCTGGATCTTACTTTTTCCCGTATGGTTGTCGCGGCCACGGCTACATATAGGAGATTATATTTTTTATCTGGCGGCTTGCACGTTGACAATCAGGCGGTTGCAGTATCAACAACTTATATCTTCGCGTTCCACGACTCTGAACCAGAACCCCACAAACCTCACTCTTGTAACATTCCTGTAGCCATATTTCTACTTCACTTTACCAGTGAACAGTCTGGGATATAGCTTGCATTGATCCTAATGCCAAGGCAGGAATAACAACATTACAGTGGACCGGGAATCATGTGCTACCAGACGATTCATACGCCAAAACCTGGTTGGTCAAGACGATACAGATGCCCAGAGAGTCAATTTTCTGAGTCTTGACGTGGTTTCACAGTTCAATGATCAACCAAGCCGCAACCCATCTATCAAGTAATCTACAGAGAAGAACAGGTCGAGTCTGTTTGTTAGCAAGTCGGATTGGCCAGCCGCAAGTTAATCAAGCACACAATATGATACATCTCTGTCTACAGGCACGGTCTCTCAAAGCCAAGCGGGGAGCATCGTTAAAGATGCGGGAATTTATCTTCGTCCAACAGTTATCAAGAACATTGGGACTTTTGATCCATCCATTATCGATGACAGCTGGCATTAAAGTTCAGCCTGAATCGGGGTCGTTAGGAGCCTAATATATCCATACTGATATTTCCTATCAACCCTGGATTTGTTTGCAGCTGTCAGCCGCGGGAACCAGACGCCGTGACCGTGTTCCTGCCAGACGGGTCTTTGTCCAGGTTGCTGTGATTTTGGGGACTTGCTGCATGTGGGTTATCGGATGACTTTATAGGCCTGGTCCTAAGATGCGAAGAAAAACCTGCCAGGACTACCTGGCTATAAGTGAGGACCAGCAGACAAGCTTTCGCCTTGTTTCCAATCCTATTAAAGCTTTTAAAATCGCTTCTAAATGTTTATTCGGTTGCCTTGCGGCTGGTATTTTCTGCAAGATGGGTTGACAGCCAGGCTAGAGGGTACCAGAAAAGTTGGCCTCCACTCCAAGTTTTGGGATACAAAAATAAACAGCTTAAGAAGTCTGACCTAAGTAGCACAAACTGACCTACTAATCTCGTCCCTTATGCTTCCAGCTGTCAATTTTTCTGATACCCTGAAGCCAGGGATATGTCCTTTCTTCAAGATCCCTGCACTTCACGCCTCGAGCCGTGGTGGATTCGGCCAGGATGCCACATATAGTCACTCGAGGTAACGTTATCAAAGTAGTGTTGCGAATGATAAACATTAATTGGCGAAAAACAATACATGTAGTATTGGGCTCCTCTGTGCTGCAATCGTTGCTGCCATGTTGTATGTAACGATCATGGCCAGGCAACCGTACCTGAACTGCAATGAACGGATGTTTACTTCAGCACAGCCCAAACTACAGTGAATTGAGCAAATCATAAGAGATTGGGTGGCTGCCTTTATAGGAGGTCTACAAACAGATACCTATAGGGATATGGTTATCAAAACCAGAGCAGCAGGGCAGGACATGGAGCAAAGGGAAGAGAACCTGTTTCATACTGAATAAGGCATGCATAGACAACCTTCCCTAACTACATTCTAATTAAACAATACTCATGAGCCGAGCACATGGCCCGAAAACCTCGAAACAGAATCGAACAGAAAAGAAGCCAGACTCTAAACACCATCCGCTTACGCCCTACACCAATGTGCCATGCTGGGAGCATAGACATTTGCCTCCTACGCTTATCTTAATACCAGTAAGTTTGACAAGCGTGCTTGCGACATAATGGAAGATCTAAGTTGAGGTTGGGCCTCGGAAGCCCAGCTTTTGCTTCTGGATTCGAGGGACAACGCCCACCAGAGTCACAATTGACAGCAAAAGAACGGCCCACAACTTCATCTTCAGTACGTTCTTGTTGTAGTCGGTCTCGACAGCGCTAGTAACAGTTGCCAGGAGGAGGACAAAGATGGTGTATCCGCTCCAGCGGTGGTATTTCCAGACAGCCTTGGCGTTGTCGACGCCGCCGTACAGACTGGGAGTAGCCCACATGGTGAACCCAACGCCATACTGAAGAAGAAGTACGATGGAGGTGATGATGCCGAGGTATCCGTGAACAGAGTGGAAGTGAGCGCCGTTATTGGCAAACTTGTTGTATTCGATGATGGTCACGCCAGCTACGAGAATCAAGAATGCCACAAGGTTGAGGATGGCGTGCACGCGTTGACCGACGCGCTTCTGCTCGGCTGTATGCGTAGGTTGTATGGCTAAAACGGATTGCGACAAGGTGAGTACAGCCAGTGACTGAAGCAGCGGGTGCGCTGAGAAGAGAATCAACGGCTTGGATAGGACGCTTGCCCAGACCAGAATCGTGAGTAGCACAACACCCAACTGGGCGACTATGCCGGTCCCTGGTACACAACATGTTTAGCTTCTAGGGGCAGATATGAACATAGTTATAGCGGCTTACCGAGAACGAGGTTCTTGATCATAGGAACGCCATCTTCTTGCGCGGCATCACCAGGTCTACCGAGCAGCGGCTCGGTTTCTCTATCCTCGATAGAAGGAAAACGCTCCGGAACACCTGCAGCACTTGCCATTATGCCTTGTTGTTTCTGTGAGGAGCTTGATGTGGGCGTGGGTCTGACGAACTAAAATTAATGGATAATCGCGAGATGAGCTACAGTCCAAACAAAAGGCAACAGGGTCTCGATGTAGGGACCAACAGCGCTTTTGGGCGTCTTGTGCTTAGTAACAGTGCACGCAGTTAAAGGTTCACCAATGCAGATGAGATGCAAATACAGGTGCGGATGCAGATGGATAGATAGGCAGATGAAAGAGAGAAGATTCACGATGACAAATTGGAGTTTCGCTTCTTCCTATTTGCGACCAATGTTGACGTCAATGAAGATAGAGAGCTCTGGCCAATCACAGAGCACCCTTTGGCAACCACGCGGGGTAGGTGGTATGTAAAAGACATGACCATCATTGTAGCAATCACGTCAGTATCTGATGTATCTAGGGTAGGCAAAATGGACAATTTAAGATATGGTATAAATCATCATTCAACATGACAGAGCAAACACATCTAGCTGTCCAGCTACATAAGCTAATCAGCTAGGTCCAGATGTCAACGATTTGGCCCGCATAAGTTAGCATTTTCTCTGGTTGGTCCCTAAAAGCCGCCGTCCGGCTAACCGTTCCTCTTCCTCCACTCCTCCGAAGCCGTTGACGGAACTAAGCCCTGTAGCAAGCTGACTGACAGCCGAAACCCCAGACTTATCAGCGACCGCGGATATGAGCCAGACGGATATTGGTGAAAAATCGTACGTCAAAGTCGCCTCAGCTGTAGACTGCAGTACCGAAGCATCCAATAATAATAAGCAAAATCACAAACAAGTAGCCGTTGGCATGATGTTGGCCCATCCTGGTGGGCACACCGGCACCAGCCGAGATCCTCTCCCCCGACTAACGGATCATGGCCTCAGTCTAATAACATGAAAACATAAGACCACTACAAATTGTCTATTTTTCTTATTTATGTACATATGTTTGGACCAATCTCTTCTCCATCTTCCATTGTGCCAATACATCCACCATGACTTCCATTGCTGACGAGATTGAGTATAAACTCGACAATGTTGATGTCTCAACAGTTCGACCTGCGGATATTGATAAGACCTTTCGTTCAACATGTATTGGTCAGTATCACACACATTTTTACTTGTACCAAATTACAATCAAGGCATACTAAACAGCTATAGACCTGATCTCTAGTGGCCTAGGTGGTAAGGTCCTTGGCTACTCGGACCAATGGTTCTGTGAGGCATCCAACCTCTTGAACCCCAGAGCTCCAATTGCTCAGCCAGGCAAGATGGTCTTCACGGGTGCTTGGTACGATGGTTGGGAGACTCGGCGACATAACCAAGAGCCATTTGATTACGCCATCATCAAGCTGGGCGTCGCCTCTGGCACGATCGAAGGATTCGAGATTGACACGGCCTTCTTTAACGGAAACCATGCCCCAGCTATATCAGTTGAAGGTGTCTTCAGCCAAGATGACGACAAGGTTGTCTCTTGGGGAGGAGGCCGTGGAGAGTGGGAGACTATCCTCGGCATTCAAGAGTGCGGTCCTTCTCAGCGCTTTGCCTGGAAGCTCAAGACTCCTGGCCAAAAGGCATACACACACGTGAGACTCAACATGTACCCAGACGGTGGTATCGCACGTTTCCGTCTCTTTGGACACGCCGTCCCCGTTTTCCCTCCAGACAAAGACGCCATCTTTGATCTCGCTGCGGCGCAAAATGGTGGTATTGCTGTGTCATGCAGCGACCAACACTTTGGAACCAAGGACAACCTTATCATCCCTGGTCGTGGCAAGGATATGGGCGACGGCTGGGAAACGAAGCGGTCGCGAGGAAAAGATCACACTGATTTCGCCATCATCAAGCTCGGTGCGCCTGGCTACATCGAGAAGTGGATTGTTGACACTGCACACTTTAGGGGTAACTATCCCCAAAAGGTGTCTATTGAAGGTTGTGAGTGGACAGGTAATGGGGATCCTGTTCCAGACGCCACAGCTTGGAGGGTCTTTGTTCCGCCTAGCAAGACCGGTCCTGATCATGAGCATGAGTTTGAAAGTGACGAGAAGGAAAAGAAGGGCCTAGTAACCCATGTGAAGCTTATCATGATTCCTGATGGTGGAGTAAAGCGATTGAGGGCTTTTGGGAGAAGGGCAGTTTAGGGTAACTGACAAGCCTTACGCCTTTAATGATGATTTTCGAACGAGATTAGTATGAAGTATAGGTAGGTGGGTAGCTAGGTAGCCTCAATAATGCATGTGGGTACTCTATAAACTTGTAACAATTCATGTCTTAGTTTGCCATGGTATATAGCATTGCGTGGACTTTTCGAACCTGAATTGGGTGGTCAGACCTTTTGATACCGGATTGGGTACGAAAAAGGGTTCAGTAATGCTGTGGCTGTGCTTCTGTGACGACGTGTGCCGTAAATACCTACCATTGATTATGTTGTAACTTGTACTGTATGTATTATGCTGCTGCTTTTAGCGGAGCTGCTCCAAAACTTAAGCGGAATGACGGTTTCTCCAGAACTTCATCAGGGACAAAGTGGGTAGTAGGTAAAGTTGCCCTCCACGACAACCTACTCGCTCAACCAGCAGACGACATCAACACAACCAACCGATTTTGGCCAACGATATCGACCCAATAGTATCGATTTACCATATTCAACACTGAAAACCCACCCGCGAAATCACCCTGTGATTGCTTAAATCATCTCATACGACCTTCCATGAACCACGCGCCGCAACTGTCTTGGTCTCGGTCTTTGTGTCTGCCCCTCCCTCCATCATGGATCTAGGGGACTCATTCGGTGGCTCGGATGGACAGCCTGAAGAGAAGTCACGAGCTCTCCCTGCAGATCTTCCCACATCCCTCGACGACAGACGACATGTGCCTAACGAGCATCTCATCACCGAGACCGAGATGTATGATGGCTGGCAAGGTCTGTCGCATATTTGCGCTTCTAATACGACCAACACGTCGCTGACGGCGCTGTAAAATAGGCCAGTCCCAGTTTCTCACCACACCAGCTCTAGCGAAACCTCTCAACTTCGGAAACCTGTCGCTCAACGATCCCGACTATGAGAATGACATCACGAAAGGTCCCACCGACAGCGACACGCGATTAATGGAAATGCTGGCCGCCCAGGCAGCGCACCAGGCAGCTCCTGCTTTCGAGAACGAAGACGAGGTCGTAAATAGCCAAACTCTGTCGGAAACAGAAAAGAAGGAGAAGCTTCAGAAAGCCCTCAACATGGCTGCGAGTAACGGCGACGTCGACAGGATCCGAAAGCTACTCGGTGGAAAAGCAAAGGAGTACCTTGATCTGGATGCTGAAGATGAGGATGGAACACCGCCGCTTATATACGCTAGTTGCTTTGTGCGTATTTTCCAACAAGCTGCAAATCCGTTACTGACTTGTAAACAGGGTCACGAGCCTGTAGTTCAGGCATTGATCGAGGCAGGCGCCGACGTTAACAAGCAAGATCGCAATCAATGGACAGCTCTTATGTGGGCTATGACGAACCGACACAAGGGAATCGCAAAACTACTGCTCGATAACAACGCCTCCTCCGACCAAAAAACCTCAACAGGACGAACGGCATTCGATTTCGTGCCCCCAGACAGCGAGATGTCATTTTACCTTCACGATGCTGGCTATAATATCGGCAATGCAGGCACCGATGATTTTTACCGCCCTGGTTTCTCTCAGGATCGATTCGAGGAAGAGATGGCAGAGAATGAGATGCGAAGACGGCTGATGATGGAGAGCGCTCGGGATCTTGAGGTCGACCTTGGAAACGTCGGCATGGACGACCAGCCAGAGGTATGGTTCAACCGCAGACATGGAAAATGTTTGGAACTAATCAATTTTGCAGCCTGTCGACGAGTTTGAGGAAGAGCAACAAGAGTTTGACTGGAATCGTTGTTTACATGATCAGATGTTCGTCTTTCAGGAACATGAGCTGGAGCGTATACTGGATATCGTTATCACCAATATGACGCCGCAAAGATCGCCGTCGCAAAAACCCGTCCCCGCCAACATGATTTTCCTCAGCGCACGCTATGCGCATTATCATTCAAGCCCGGAGCTTTTAGAGAGGCTCTTAGTGTCAGCTATGGATTACATCAACGACGTCGTTGAGAGGTGTCAGTGGGACATGACCATCCTGGCCTTCTGGATCTCAAATGCCACCCTTCTCCTTCACTACCTCAAGAAGGACCCGGGACTTTTCCAGGCGACAGCCGAGTTTCAGGCCCAACTTGCCGAGTTGATAAACGAAATCTTTATTCTTATCGTGCGAGATGCTGAGCGACGACTGGACAAGGTCTTGGATGTGGCCATGCTGGAGCATGAGACGATCCCTGGATTCGAGGACATCACTTTTCAGAACGAGTGGAAATTGTTCAAGCGCAAGACTCAAGTCAAGGAAGAGCCATTAGAGAAGCGCTTTCGGCCACCGTCGCCAAAACAACGAGCAAAGCCAGCGCCCCGAAACGTCACCTCCCTCCTCTCCTCCACCCTGTTTGTTCTCGACCTCTACGACATTCACTCGGTGATCACATCACAGATCATCTCCCAGCTTATTTACTGGATCGGAGCAGAGCTTTTCAACCGCATCATGTCGAATCGAAAGTATCTCGCCAGGACAAAAGCTATGCAGATTCGCATGAACATATCGATATTAGAAGACTGGGCTCGGACGAATAATAGGCAGGCAGAGCATTTTGAAGGAGGCGAGGTGCGTCCTTCGAGCGAGACAACGCAAGACGCTGCAAGAAGGCATCTTGCACCCGTTATTCAGTTGTTGCAGTGGCTCCAGTGCTTTTCATCTATTGACGGTGATGACATGGAGGCTCTTATTATCACACTCCAACAGCTTAAACGGCTTAGCCCCCAGCAGCTCATACACTCAGCAAACCACTACAGGGCAGAAGTGGGCGAGAAGGGCCTACCAAAGAGTTGCATGAAATATCTTATCAATTTACAAAAAGAGGCGGCCCTCAAGCGAGAA